TGGTGAGGAAAGAGATGTTGGAGTAATGGTCAACGGTTCAGTGAAGGGTTTGACACAGTGTGCATCCACTGTAAAAAATGCCAACAGCATTTAAGGGTAATCAGATGTGGTCTTGAAAACGGGGATCCCAATATCATAATACCCTTACAGAAATCAAAGCTGCAACCATATCTGGAATATGGTGTGCAGTTCTGGTGGCTGGACCTCAAAAAGATTATAGTGGAGCTACAGAAGAAAATACTTCAGACAAGACCCTCCCTAATTTACACTAAGATAAAGGGAGGGAGGAGGACGCACGTTCAGACTTTCAAAATTCTGTTCCTATAGCTGTTCCAGGACAAACAGTCCTGGCCTATATGAGATTGGTTTCTTAGTCTGGTCTACCTTTTAGGGCTGACATATAGAAAGGGCAAATCAGAATCAAATTCCAGAAGAAATGCATAAAGGAAAAGTGAGGATAGGGAAATCTGAAAAAAGAGGTGGTTGGATGAATTTAATGAGACTGCAAAAAGAGAGAGAGATGAGATATTTAGAGAACAAAAGGCAAATGCATGAAGTGGTGTGTGAGTGTGATATAAATAAGGCTGGTTTGCGAGGATCGAAAGCGAAGGGAAAGTACAGTAAGTGGTTTTGGAATCAATTTAATTTAGTTGAGCGATTCCTCTTTTGAAGCTCTGGTTCCAGTTTCTTTTGCTGACCATTTATTTCTCCTCCTCTGCATAACATAGTTTACCCCCAAATTGAATAGGAAGGTGGGTATGTATGTGTTGCATACTGTATGCATCTTTACTTTAAAAATTAGAAGGAAGATTATAATATTTTTGTTTGTTTGTTTTGCTCTATATTAAAGTGACAATTCTAATTAACAATAAGTGTCAAAGGATGAATCATATTAAAATAGACTTTTATTGTGTGTATGTTTTGTGTGTTATTTGGAGAAGTGGATAACTTTTTGCAAAACCAGGTTGCTACCTGCCATTTTAAAAATGAAGCATTGGAACTGTGAAAAGAAGTTTCACCGCAAAGATAATTGGATTAGCCAAAGGCTACGGCAAAGCACTTCCATATTGTGGCCAAGAAAACTGCACTGCCAGGTGTGTAAAATCATCAGCATTACCCTCACAGACTCAAAAAGCTTAAGCGTGGTTTAACTGAAGAGCAGGCTTGCTGTTTGAAATTCAGCGACGTTTTAGTCTATTCTGATATTTACAAGGCATGCATGTATCTCTGTTGCTGCCAACTGCTGTTGTTGAATAAGCTGCCCTTGCCTGATTTCATATATAAAACATACAAATAATGATGAAAGAGAAGCTATTTGATGTCTCTGCCTCATGAAGAAGAGTTTCTGATATTCAAGAAGAAATTATGCAAGCTGTGAGGCTCTTTTAGGAGGAAGGAGATAGTAAGTGGCCAGAATGAGAATATCAAACAATGACCAGCAGCTATTACCAGATTCTGATGTATTGGTTATTGAATCTTCCCAATGGTCCAAGAATTTTATTTTCTCCTTTTCATGCTGTCTGTTACACACACTCACACACACACACACACACACACACTGACACACACATGCAGATGTACAAAGGCACACAATCAGAGGCAGGCTGATGCCATATTTTTTTAGCATTAAATAATAAGCCAATCTTTCATTGAAAAGACTTTATTCATTTTCAACAGTAACACTATCATGAGAAGTAAATGTTAGGCAAGAATGAAACTGGTTGTCCTTGGCATTAGAAAGTTGACGTGTAACAAGAAAGCAGCAACCAAGGATGCCTGGGGATATTTGGACTTTATCTCCAGCGTTCTTCCATTGTGAAAGCTAAAAGACAATAGGAACAATCTATTACTTCCAGCACCAAAGAGTACACATAGATAGGCTCAGCCACAATCTGGATTAGGAACATACTTTGCATGTAAAGATCTAATGATCAATTCACAGAGTAATGAATTGTGAACACCAAAGGAATAAAGGTTAGCCCTTTTTATTTTTTAAAACAGAG